AAAGGCCCTCCCTGGCCCCAGGCAGGCAGGGGTGGGGAGAGGCAGGGGGGAAGCAACTTACCCTCCCTCTTCTCCTGCCTCCTCCTGGCTGAATGAGGGCCGGAAGCGGGGCGGCCAGAAGCAGGGGCGGGGCTTCGTCATGTGCCCCGCCCCGTACCTCCCCCGGGGGAACTGCGATCCCCCGCAAACCCCCCCCCCGAAATGACATCTGGTTATTTAGTCTGTTATTTACTTATCGGTAGGGTTGTAGTTTAAAAGTAAGCCAGCACTTCTGCTGTTTTCATACGCTATCCAAGTAAAAAATCTGAAGATGTTACCAAGTCATGTATACCCCCTTGTGAAAGCAAATCAAAACTTTGTCCCACCGTGGGCTTTTCTGCATGGGTTTTGCCATCAGTTTTGGCTCTATACTGCTTCAGTTTATCCTGATTTTTTGCATGGATTTTTGTGCCTTTAGTTTTCACTTCATTCCCCCGCCCCCGGGAGGGGGGGTGTCTGACTCTTTTGAAACCACTTTTACCCTAATGTTTTTCTGGAAGTCAGTTTTGAGTTGGCATTTTCCTAGTGCATAATGTTTCTATTGGTTTTCTTTGTCCCACCCACTTGCAGCCCACTTTTCGATTATTGAGCGCTCATCATCATTAAACCACTCCCTCTTCCTCCTCCAATTAAAAAAAGAGTACATCTCTATTCTCATCCCTCAGGGAGATTTAAGGAAAAGGCATATCTCCGCGAGGGCAGAAAACTTACTTTAAAAAAAATGAAAGCTGGGAATTTATATATTGATATTTTAGGGCCATTTTTTAAAAAATGAGGGGGTGCTCTGACACCACTGATAGGGACAGCCCCCTTGCTTGAAAATCCTTATTATTTAAGCCAAGTGCAGAAGGAAATACTGACTCCACAATGGTGAAATGCACAGGGGGGCAGACATGCAGAAGAATCCTGCACAAATCGATTTCAGTCTTGTGAATCAACTCCCAAGAAAATGAGAAGTTACTCGAGAATGCAGAAAAGGCCCGTTATTCTCACAGAACATTCCTTTTTTCGAAACAGAAAAATGATAGCGGAGCTCGGCGTGGGGGAAAGAGCATGTTACAAGGAAAGTCAAGAGACACCATGTCAGAGGTCCTTGATCTTTCGCAAATAGTTGATTTGCTGAGATATCCCTCTGATGGCCCTAACAACTGAGTCTCAGTAAGATCAATCTTACCTCCATATTGGGTTATTGTTGTATCCAGGGGTCATTTCGTAGAAAAAGAGCTAGGGGAACTCATTAGCATAACTCATTAGCATATGCCACACCCCCTGACATCACTGGAAGTGTGTCATAAGGCCACACACCCCTG